GCTGGTGCGGTGGTACGATCCATTTCGAGTGCGCAACTCGTTCTTCGATTCACCACTTTTGTATAGACCGCGAAAAAGAAATCTCTACATCAAGATTCTGCATCCCACGAACTATTAGCTTCAGAATATTAGAATTTAATATTTTCCTTGCATTTTAGCGCCCGTTACGTAAAGAATACATAAAATACGACTATCAATATTTCATACAAATTTACAAAGTTCTTTTATAAAGTTGAAATAATACTTTACGTGTCTAAAATAACGGAAAACTTTGAAATAATTTTTCATTATTAATTATGTGCGTTATTATACATGTACATATATAATTTTATACATAATTTCCTACATAAAATTGTAGAATAAATGTTCCGTAACTATTTCTCGTAAAGATCGAGAGAACAACTCAAAATTATACTGTTAATTCATATAATAATTTTGAGTCGCGTGAACTGTTGAAATTAAATAAAAAATTATATATGCCACAGCAAATTAACAAAAAAACTCATTATTTTAACTAATTAAAGTAATAAATATTAAAATATTTAAACAATAAAAAAGCTTTTATATATACATATAAACAATCCATTCTTCATAAACAATATTCAATATGCATTTGCGTTATCACCAACAAATTGCAGGCTATTTAATCTGCACGACGTTAATTAATCAGCGAAACCGATTTATTCAAGCATCATTTAGATGTTGGTGGTGTCCTTTGTCAACTAGATGTGCTGAAGAGTAAAGGACGTCCACAGAACGATTTATCGTGATAAACCTTTCAACAAGATTCCCTACCCTTATTTATTCATCAAATTAACGGACGTTGATTAGGCGGGGCAGCAAAACATGGTTTAGGAAACTTCCCGTTGACAATTAATTACCGTCTGTATCATTTATTACTTAAGAGTTCCATGGTAAAGTAGGACATTATTCTATATTCATTTGCGAAAAACTTTATTGTACTGCAGACTGCCCCGAATTTAATGAATCATTTTTCACACGTGACTCCATGAATCTGACTTTTCCTAATCGAATAAGAAAGAGAATATTTTTTAAGCAAATCTTGATGTTTAACAATTAATATTTATATATAGAATTACAAATACATTTTTCAGTTCCATAAACTGCGCGCATTCGCATTCGATTTATCAAACTTGAAACGCAATTATAAACTGGACACATATTATGGAATTATTCGGAATAGATTTCGATCGGAATTATTTCATTTTCCCTGGAAAATATAATGGAAATCTAGAGAATAACTAAACAATTCCAATTGGAATTCATTCCGAATAATTCGGTAATACATGCCTAAAGCTGGAAATAACATCATAAATTATATTGATCGTTAATTTAATAATGGTGCTAGTAGGTATCATAAACCACTGTAAAGAATTTATGGCGAAAAATACCTCAGCCTGGGTTTGAACCTAAAATTTCTAACTTTCCAGAACCGACATCTTATAATGATCGGGAATTCATTAGGTTCAAGGCTGAGATGATATTTTTCGCAATAAATTCTTTGCAGCGTTTTAAGATGTTTATTAGTATCATTAATTGACAGTCAATGTAATTAATGATGTAATTTCCAGTTTCATACAGTTTATGATTGTTAAGTTTCAAGTCCAACAAATCGAATCGGACGCACAGTTTATAAAACTAAAAAATATATTTGGAGAAATTTACACATATAAATTATAAATATTATTAAGCACCAAGATTCTCTTCAATCGAAAATACTCTTATTTGATTAATTTTTATCAATTTAATTTACTCTTATAATTATTTTTCAAAATTGAATTGGTGAGAAAGAACATTATTTATTGCAAATTTTCAATCCTTAACATTTTAAATATTTGTTATAATTGTTCCATAAATTATAAAACTATTAAAACAGAACTCAGTAAAAATTAAATAAAAATTGAATCTTAGATTTTGACATTATACTTTTTTAATCTTATTGTTAGACGGAAATATATCTCATGAGGAAACCTCATCCACGAAATCATAACATATGTATCTCCTTGCATTATACCTAGTTGTTTTTGTAATCAGGAATCTCATTTGTTACGATAATATTGTTGTAAGAAATGAATGGACTCAATTGTAATGATCAGAGAGAGGCCGTTTGAGTTAGAATTAGAATGGAAATTATCTTGCCTCCGTCATTACTTCGCAAGTTATATCCGTGTGATCTCTTTATCTTTGTATCCATTTTCACTGTCTAAACGTCCTACACGTTACAAGCAGTGCGCGGGTGTCTCGAGGGCATTCACGGCGAGAAATCCAATTTCAATGAAAAGGCGGAACAAGAGGTTACGACGCGAGACAAATATCGTGTTTCAGGACGATACACCGCCGCGCAGTCATGTACGTGTTGTCTGCGTAAATTCCTCAGGCCTGTCGGCTTACTTGAGAGAGAATTTAACCGTTTTATCGCGAAAACAGGGAGTACGGCGAGAAACCATTACTGGAATTCCGCTTGTCTTCTCGTATTCAAATACTAACAACTCTTCCAATCGGATTACTGCGAGAGTCAATATTTTGAGAAAGAACCAAATAATTTTCGACAACTTATTTGCCACTATAAAGCTGTAAAATCAACGAGTAAAATGTAATCAGTACAGTAAATATGTCATTTATTTATTTAAAGCAATATTATTTTTTCTATTAAACAGCCATAGTAATTATGATTTTTTCATTGCGATATATTTTTAATCTCATGCATGTACAGTTCGTACAATGATATCAATAATTTGCACCGTACATCCATATTTAACAGTAAATTTAATTGCCCGGGTGCGACCACTTATACCAGACGCATTAATTAACTGTACTAAATACACGAAATTCATTACTGTTCGCTATCCGTAGGGATTAGGCCAGAAATCTAGCAATTATTTCGCAGCAATATGTCTACATCGTTTAGGAAATGGTATATCAATATCATACATATACATATAGATTGTCAATTTCTTTTTACTATATATCAGGTATTTTCTCATTTTCTCTTGAAACGTATTTTAAACAGAATTAAATAATTATATAAAAGTTAATAATTTTGAATAAAATTAATTAAATGCTCTGTAATATTGCTATGTATAATGTATATTATTATGTAAATATTATTTCAAATGGTTATTAATTATTAAATGCATAATTATCATATCATTTTTCAGAAAATCTAATTAGGCAAGTTATATTAGCTTGTTAAATAATATTTCTATAATTTAAATATCAAATTTCCATATTTTTCTGTTGTTAAAACGGTACAAAATTTTTAACAGTATATATTAAGGCAATAAATAAAATATACAAATTAAGATCACCATTTCACATAACTAATAAAATAAATAATTAAATTTTAATATTGTGTATGTGTGTATATGTTTCGTCAGAATTTTGATTCATGTATTTTATATCTAATAGGAAATATTAAACGAAAATATTATAAGTCAAATACTAGTAGTTCAAGAGGGCCATCGAGTAACTCAACGGACTCTCATTAGTAACACGATAACGGATGTTCGAGCATTATAAACCTGTAATCTGATGTACTAAGTAGCTGACGTATCTGTATTAACGCTGGTTACAAGAAAGCCACCAGTAGTGCCACTTACTACATCCAATATTATGTTGCATGATTGAATTTCGTAAATTATCTATAAACGCGATAACATAATGATATGCCAAAAGAGAAATCATGCACTCTCAGAGATTCTATTTGAAATAAATATAGTTCAATATTTGAACTATTTATAAATATTCTTTTTTATAGAAATTTATATATAACATGTAAAATTTTTGATGGATTTAGATTTATATGTGTAAATTAATATGCAAGATACATTAAATTTATTGTAATACTATAAAAAGAATTATTGACGATACTTTAAAACAATAATTATATTTTATTATGTATATCTAATGTGTGTAACTCTTCTATATTATAAAATATATTATAAAGTACGTTGTAAAATGTATATATTATATTATAAACATGTCAAATATAATTCTTTCTATATACGATGCACGACTTTTTTTTCAAAATGAACAATATAGATAGAAGTGTCTTTATGGTTGAAAAGAAAAGGACGGGACAAAAAATAAAGAAAGAAGAAGAAGCGCAAACAAAGTAGAAATCACTGGAGCTAAGAGTGAATTTCAAGATCCACATGTATCTTGAGTACAATAATTATTGCTGGAGACATTGCCGACAAACGTAGCTTAAGAGAGAGAAAGAGAGAGAGAGAGGGTAACTTCTAGAAAAGTTTGATTTGAGAAGCGGCTCTTAGTCAAAGTTTTCGGGAAAGCAACTTGCAGGGGAAAAGGACAAGTTCAGCTTCGGATAGTTAGGAAAAGACATCAACCCACGCGTCTAGTCCGACCCGTGTTTGATGACAAACTTTTCCTCGCTTGGTATAAACTCCAGATTGAATCGTAAAAAGAGTAAGAAATAATATTTCAATTATGATAATATCAGATCGATGCAAACGATGAACGAATAATTTTCGATCGCAATTCAAGATGCGATCGAAAGGCGTGAACAAAACATTTTGTTCTTTTCGTAATTACCAAAGGAAATCACGTATCTGTATTTGGGATAATTTAAATTTAAAATTTAGCGTCATTTTTTAACGTGAAATTAAAATTCAGCTTTATCGGCGTATATTTTTCAATATACGCGGACTGATTAATCATTCAACGACTGTATTTGTGATATTATTGTATAAAAATATTAGTGTTTTATTTTATCACATATATATCCACGTAAAATCAACGTGCGATGAATTTACATGAACATGTTTATGTTAGACGAGATCATCCATTTTTGTTTTCAGTTTGTTTAAAAGTAAATACCATAAAAAAACATCAGTTTCAGAGGAAACCGTATTTTTATTATTTTATTGAGTCGTCGCGTTAAGAGAGAGCATCGTGCGAAGAGTACTTCAAAATAAAACTATCCTGCAAAGTAAACAGTTGTCGAGATGCAAACTCACCAATTTTGACGACCGAAGGCAGCGCGTCGAGCACCGATGGCAGCTGAAGCAGCTGAAGAACAAAGATAGAGGCTACCAGGCAGCCCAGATTCATAGCTCATCTCGGAAGCCCTCCGCAGCGGCCTCTCGGTGGCCCCTCACACAAACACTACCGCACAAATTATGTGGTGGATAGGGTTTGACGTTTCTACGCACACGTTCACCTATACATAAAAAATGTGAATATTATTTATATTTATTATATAAGATGTGTCGTGTGGCTCCGTGAAAGAACGACTTGTAATCAATTGCGCATTTAATATATATGAAAAAATTTCGTAATCCTAGCGGGAGTTCTAGTGCAGAGGAACTCTTTAGACCGATAATCTATTTAAACCGGTTCTTATTTTAAAACCGTGTTAGGTAACCGTGTTAGGTAACGTCTTAAGATGCTAATATAGTTCTCTGATTGATTCATGACGTTTTAATATTATATTCAAAACGATTCTAAAAATCTGATTATAAATACCGCCCTTAGATTTAGATGGCTCTTTGATTTTCAAATACATAGGAACTGATGGTCCCATTGCTACTACATGTTTATTATTCAAATAGACGTAAAATGTACCGCTACTGCAATCACTGCAATCGAAATTAATATTATGACTAAATTTCCTAAAATAATTTTAATTATAATCTTTTAATATGTATTATTCAATTATATATATTATAATCTTTATAATATATCTTTATAATATATCTTTAAAATAAATCTGAACTGTGTGCGCAAATACAGGAGAGTTTTGTACCTATTACAGTTTAGTCAGTTTCTGTTTAAAGAAAAAAGAATTTTTTACTGGTACGTTAATTAAAAGTTCGCGTTGAAACAGGCTGGAGATAGAATGTATCCACAATGTTGCCCTTTACTGCGCGTAAAATTCAAGGGCCGGGCATATCCTACTACAAATGCGGAATACATTTTTCAACAAAGAAAAAAAAAGATTTCCACAAGCATTTTGCCAGCAAACAAAAATTTCCCGTTTTGCCATGAACGATGTTTGAAACGTTCGATTCGCCGACAGGTATTTCTTGCTCGAGATGTTTCTAGGTGATATTTCAACTAAGCAAACGATTCTTGCTGAGAAATATGTACATCGCCTATACGCAGAGTATCGTTCATGAATTCCTGTGACATAACGCGGAAAACTTATCGTCACTCATACTTTACGTTCTAAATTTCAGTGGCGCTCGGCCAAAGGGTTAGAGGGCAGATGTCTACTCGTGTAACTTCACGTTTCTAGCAAACGTGATACGTGCGACCCAACATTTTAGACAAGGAAGACTAGTGAGAAAATGTACTGGTAGCATTTGCATTATTTCAAGGAATTTATATAATAAATCAGATCATATATATAAGTTATATATATAAACGATAATTTGTACTAATTAATTTTTATACGATAATTTCATATCATATTCTAGTTCGAAACTAATATTAATGCAACTAATATTCATCACAAATCATTCGACCACAAATATATTTAAAGGAATTAAATATTATGAATTAAATTTTTTAAGTATTGAAATCTTCTCTTCATTTATACAATAATATAAATTTATAATTGTTTAGAGAATAATCTGAAATAATGGTTTATATTTAATATTTTGTGTGAACATCCTATAAAAGTGAACATCATATTACAACGTATGGATGCAACATGAAATGCGAGAATCATTTATAAAATTTTATAGTCAAAATGTACAAGCGGTGAAAACACAAAATCACATAATGCATTTATTCTACTTTGAATGTAACGTGCGTTCAATGCTTTCATGTTTCATTAAATCAATACAATGCATACATATTATTATATAAAAGAAAATTTAAAGGTATTATATCTATAACGTTACTATAACGTTGCAATACATTTATTTTTTATCATAGCCAAGCAACTAAACTTTCTTAGACTCGTTTCGTCAAATTTTCAGTTTAGGTCAACGAAATTAACTGTCTCCATTTCCATTTCATCATCTATGCATCATCTTTACGAGCAAACAAAACCGAACGATTTACTTGACAAACTTTGCATTTCTCTTCTTACTCAACGCGTTTCTTGCTTGCCGATGCTGTCTCGTGAATCAATAAAATTACGAAATAACCGCGGTGTTTTGTCACCGGCTGTACGCTCGCTGGCAGAGACCACCGGTATTATTTGATTTTAATTCAATGTCATGATTTCTTTGCGAAACAAGGAACAGTTTGTGAAACTTCTCGCACGGCTTCCTTCGTAGACATTGCTGTCGTCGCAGTGGTATTAGAAGAAACAATGGCACGATATTCAATTCGCAATGTCGCGCATTCGTCTGCGAGGAAATCCGCAGACTGTCTGGCGACTTCCTCACGAATTCCTCACAGATATTCTCATACAGTAATTCTTTCATTCGGCTTTATTATGAGAAGGTGGACGTATTTCTTCCATCTTCCAATGTGGAAATCCGACCCGAGTAATTGTGAATCTTTTATTTAGTCGTAGAAGAAAAAACATCCTAAGGCTAACAATAAATCTCATTAGAAATATAACTATATGTTGCGAAAGATAACTTTTTTTTTACTAGTTGAAGAGAGCAAGAACATTGAAGATACCATTTTTAAGATGTAATTAATTTAAAATTATTACTGATTAAAAAAAATTTTTATTTCCTGAGATATTTCTGTCTTATTAACATTTCCAATTATTAAGTTACTCAAAGTTTATACGTTTGAAAGAAGATAAAATCGTGAAAAAATTTCTTTTACGTTAGAATACACGCATAACGAATTCAAAGTAAGAGAAACGTTATCGTGATTGGCTGAGGTAATTAATTCACTTTCCTCGCAAGGTGACATACTATTTGTAATCTCGCAATTAGCACGTCGGAAGAGGTGAAAGACCGCGAACATCTGGAGTGAAAATATATCAAGTCCTCAGTTCCGTCGTCTCGTAGAAGACTCCTTTGAGGGAAGAATGAGAAGGTTGTTAAGCCAAAATCTTCCGGGAATTTAGAAAGATTCGCTCTACGTCGCATCCAGGTTGCCTTAATCGCGCCGCTTTATTCGACGATAATTCGTCGCGGCTATAGAAACGCCTTAATGGCATAGAAGAAAAAGCGGCATGCAAGTGTGCGCGCAAATAGGATGAAAATGAAGGTGATGAGAAGAAGGTGAAGAGTTCGTGAAGAGTAGAACAACGCAGAGAGAGAGAGAGAGAGAAGGAAGGAAAAAAAGAGGGGGAGGGAGAGAAAGGCAGTGCTTTAAATATATATATTTCTTTCTACTCCCTTTTCTCCTGTAGCCGTCCGCCATCTTTGGTGATTTACGGTCGTCCTAAAACATCTTCGCGATATCGTATCCCGCCCACTCAGGAAGAAAATAGAAGGAAAGCGGCTTATGCTGGTCCCAGAATTCTCGTTAACACCATCATCTCCGTCACCTCCGATATGTGGATTATATACGAGAGAAATCGCTTACTAAGGGGCGTCGTATCTCGTTTTTTTTCCCCTCTTTAATCATTTCTTCGTGGCATTTTACGACGAATTTAGATCAATCGATTTTCGATCTGACCGAGCAATAGGTGAGCATCGTCAACGTTCGTCGGATCTCTAATTGAAATATTTCGCATACCTTGTCAGCAGAATGCAGTTTTGCGAACATGCAGGTAAGTTTTACAGAAGATTTGTGATTGAACAACCGATATAAAATCGTCACTGATATAAAATTTTTACATAAAATCTTTTTTCTCGATACATTTGAAAAAAAAAGATAGAATATTATCTACACATATTAATCAAGGAAGTTACGTAAAAAAGGATTTCCAATTTAGTAAATCGCTCGAAAATTTAGTAAATTCACATGTAATTCTTCAGATTTTATAGCAACGCGATCTCGCCTATATAGTACAACGAGAACTCAAGTAAAGTGCATCCTATGTTCCTCTTTCCTTTTTCTCGATTTGTCTGTTCTATCGCACCCTTTTCTTCGATTTCCTGTGGCGTTTAATGTTTCGGATATCGATATCGTAACTTCGTATGATCATTTCGTGGCGCGATGCAATAAAATTTAATCATCCGTACTACTATCAACGAGAGGGCAAAGCTGGTACAAAAGTACACTCCACTTTAATCCATTCGTTTATACGAATGTCGTAAAAAATAGATACGTTTACTTATCGGAATAGAGATAAGAACAATTAATATTAAATGTATAAATGTTAGCAATTTAAAGTAATTCACCATTCATTAAAATTTTTAATTCGTCTTTCAAAAATATAAATTATTACGAAATAAGATTCTTCTTTATCCAAAGTAAAATTAATTAAATAGACTAATTACCAATTAATATTAAGTGATTTATCTATAGACAAACTATAACATTCTCTTTAACTTTTAACTTAAATATATCCACAATATTAATTATATAACTAAGCCACACTCCATTGAGATACTTAACGTAGGTGAATTGTACAAATGGATTGATTATATTGCCTTACTTATCGATATCATTCTTAATAAACAACATTTACTTGCATAATGAGGCTGCAATTATGCCATGAACATAATACACGACATAATATACGAAGTAATACTAACCCATCGTTATCATGAATTATAATAAATATAGTATAATATTCCCGCGATATTTATTGTTAGTAGTGTACGCAATGTATTATTGTTTCCATATTTTACTTTCCAATACTATACATGTTAAACAATTCGCATATGGAAGAAATGATTAAACTTATGTGGTTAATCGCGACGATAGAATCGAAATTATGCATAAAAGAATACGCACGATTTCATTTGTATTAAAATTTAAAAAATTAATAATATGCTTCGCTCTTATTCCGCTCATCATTAATTTCTATAACGATGTTCAAATAGAACTTTAATTTATTAAATCCTGGACTGAATAATTATTACTAAATAATTCAATACGTATAATTTAATACGTATGAAATCTAATTAAAGCAATCGGAAATGCGTTATTTTAATCTAATATGAAACGTGCATCTATTTTATCATACTGATTCAGTCGTACCTTTGTAGCTCTAATTTTCAATTGGCTCTTACGATTTATATATATATTATATATAATAAAATAAATTATTATAAAGAATACATAATAAATTGGGTTATATAGAGAATGGGACGCATTATGTTATTTGCAATTAATGACGATAGAGCCGAATGATCTAAAAAATATACAAAATAATCAATGTCATTGAAATCGTAAAAATCGATCATTTTTAGCGCAACTGCAGTATTTTGTCACCACAGCGTACTGTTATGAGCAATATAAGCAAATATAACTTTCAAATAAATTCCTGGTTTGTCGTGTCAATTTATCCAAAATAATCAATATCCATTTTATATTAATATCGTTTAATGGCGACGTAATTGGGCATATTCGTCAATCAATAGCGACAATTTACGTAAAAAGGTGTAATAAATTAAAATATTTTATCATGTAATAGTATTTCGATACAAGTTGCAAAAAAGGAAAACAAAAGGAAATTATTGCTCGGTTGACAAGTCACATCGCAGACAGTGAACTCCAAATTATCAGAACAATTCGTTTCGGTTCGAAAGCTATCGATTTTGCTAACGAACCGAGTAGGATCGCGTCGTGGCACGGAACTCGCTTACCAAATTGGAATAAATGAGTTATGTATATTGTTTTCACCAATCACATCCCCGAAAATGTCGCAGAAGATTAGAAAAAAGACAAAGAGTAGCGTTGTTTTTGCAATGACTTAAATGGATTGGATAAACTAGATTTTACACTGAGAATGACTATTGCCGAAATTTATCTTTTGAAACGTTTCTATAAATTTGAAAATATTTCTGAATTAAAAAATTAAAAATAAGTAGATATAACACTGCTTCTTGTAAAATTAATTTCAATTTAAAAAACTCAAAAATATTAAATTTAAAAAAATGTAGTCGAAATTTTAATATGTAATGTTTCGATTAAAATTGTCAAAAAATTGAAAGATTCAATCCAATTTCATGATAAACACGTAAATTTGCTTACCAATTTAATATCTAATTTCTTGCGATCAATTTTGTCCTTTCAATCCCGCATCGGGATTACTTAATCAATTTTTAACTCTAAGGTTAATTCGAAGTATCCATAAAATCGCATAAAAGTAATGCATGAACTCACTAACTGCATTTGCTCCGCCCGGATCGCATTAAAAATACAAATTAATCCGCACTTCTCACGTTTACTACTTACTTGAGCTTTTAAAAAGTTTTCTATTCTCATCTTTAAGCGGTCAAGTAATTAAAATGGCGCCTACTTACTGCGTTTTGCATCGCGGCAGTCGTTTACGTCCGGCAACTTTCGGCAGTGGGGAAAACCTCACGGGACGCTTGGAGAATCGTTGGGACGACGTCTCGAGGGGCGCGGAGACATTCGAAGACGTTGACTTTTAAGAATACCGGCGTGCAAAGACGTGCGTGGTCCTCGCGACGCGCGTAAACATAACCTCCGTATGTAGTGTGCGGACCGTTATCATCGCGGAAACATAAACATACACATCCTACCGTGACAGAGGCCGGCGCGCGACTGCCGCTCAGCCGTTCGGTCGTCGACTCGCGACGTTGGCCGAACATTCCCGAGCTCCGATTCTCGCCGAGCGGCCACGTGCTCGCCGGCCAATCACGCTCGCGCTGGCCCACGTGCTCGTACGAACAGACCATGTGAGAACGATTAGCGCGCGCTTTGCTACCTTTATGGAGCAACGAGTTTTACGGAGAAATGCCGATGCTCCGTTTTGAAGTAAGGCGCTTTTAAATGCGATGCCATTTCGAAGTAACGAGTCGACGAGATGCCGTTTCGAACGTTAAGCCAGAGGCACACACGATGCAAATTTTCCTGCAGTTTTTCTCGACTATAAATTCTTTGGAAGTCTTTTGAAGTTTTAGTGCAGTAATATAGTCGCATAAAAAAGTCACATTAAGAAAGGAAGAACGATTTAGTTATTGCTGTGCTATTATAATAATTCGGAAATAACGTAAAGATATTAATACTTTAATAGTGTATTTAGAGCACCAATCGCGATATACTTGATTAAAAGAAATGAAATACAATTACAGATAGGAAAGAATGCAAATTAAATATTGTAATGAATATACACAGCCTTGATTGCATTATTAAATATGTATTTAATAATAAAACTAAAAATACGACGTGATTAAAAGCGTTACAGCACAATCAAACACGATGTGCTTGATTACCATAAAAAAAATAAAATACAAGAGATAAAAAACCTAATTAAATGTTGTAATAAATATATAATAACAACAAAATCAGAGCATACGATACGATTTTTCGTAATTACATGCAATTTAATAAATTACTAGAATACACCATACAAGACGCAAAATTTTTAGTAATAATTTACTAGATCGCGTGCAATCTAACAAAAAATCATGTCATATTCTTCTGAATTTATTGTTGTTATATATTTATTATAATATTTAATTCATTTTATTTTTTTTAAACGCATCATGATTAGTACTATACAAGCACTTTTAATATAAAATTAATAACTAATATTTTCGTTATTTCTGAATAAAAAATAGCACACGGCAATAACTGAACCATTCTTTCTTTTCTTGCTGCGACTTTTTGGTACAAGAATTTCAACACTGAAACTTTAAAACTTCCAAAGAGTATATTGTCGAGATAAATTCTACACAATAATAAAAAATATAACCAAACATTAACTTTCGATTTAAAAGACTCTAATAATCAATGCAACGATTTTTATATGCACTGCTTTATATATTTCTCAATATAATGTATAAATTTTATTGAGTAAAGAGATTTTCGTATTTATAATAAAAATACGAAAATTTATAATAAACTTAGATGAAACATCTTATTTTGACGCTTTACTTTCATCGCTTGGAAAAAAGTTACAAAACGCGAAGTTGCATCATAGGGTAGAATAAAGGGGTTGGAGGCCGCCATATTAAGTTCTACCAGCTACTACCTGTTTTAGTAGGTCTTTCATGCTTCTCATGCACGACTACACGCGCCGTAAACTTAAAAGACTTTTATGGCAATTTTGCTGGCGACGAACGCAGGGATCGTTGCTCTGCACCGCTTCATAAACTTCTTTTCATTATAAATTTCATGTTCCCAGACGTGTACTCCATTTCTTTCACATATAAATGGTGATTTTGGAAAGTTGAAACATTAGCGATAACAACTTTTACGAACGCAACGCACAACGCTGAACGATAAGCTACTTGTTCTCATACAAGGATTATGCAAAAGCTAATGTTGTTTAAACTAAAATATAATAACAAATATGATGGAAATAAAATTTAAAAAAATATAGTTATGTTAATTTATAGTCATTTTTATCATTGTATTCTTAAAATATCAAAGAATTTATCGAAATAACGTAAAAATACGGAAGCTCATTTTTGCATTTAAGATATATTCAAAAGAATATCAAGTAAAATCAATTAAAACTGTTTTAGAAGAACGTCTATTACAATTTTTAAGAGTACGAGTTAGCCAAGACATGAACCCCATGATGGATTGAAGTCGAGTTTCCAAGTGGTTTGGCTGGAGTTGCAGTCGAACATGGCGCAATAGTTGCTTACGCATCCGGAGGATGGCAGTATACTCGATGTTGCTAATATTATGTTTTTTTTTTTTTAGTTTTTTTTATGATACATTTCTGCTGTATCAGGAGACGCTGTAGTATCTCGCGCCAAGTATATTTTTCATCAAGTCCTTCCTTTGATGAGTGAGACACTATTGCGTATCCTAGAAAGGAGGATGCATCTGTGGAAATAAAACATTTTTGGCGACGTTATTGAAACATATACATAGATATTGAAGGAGAATGTACTTTCTTTTTCAATTGCGATATAGATTTGGCGTGTATTAATGATTTAGAATGCATATTTTGTAAGACTCATTCAGAAGGTATATCGTATATTATATATAAAATAATAAATAATTTAAAAAATATACAACGCAAAAAAGAGGACTCCTAATTGTAAGCATTTTTTCTCAAGTATGCAAAGAACTATTTTAATATAGCGCTTTTTAACGTTGCAATTACGTAATAGTATCTGAAATAAAATACGTACCTATACCTAGAGCATGGATCGAATAATTATTCGCGTCCGAATGAACCCACAATCATACCGCAGAAACAACACAAAATTTTCTTCGATTTCCGTGCAACTTTTGTGAGAACGATCCGATCCGGTACTACTATTTTCCCCGGAGAATCCATTTCCGAGGCGACACGGCGGTCGTTCCTAACTCGTTCGTCATCGATTCCGCGCTGATCGGAGGCCGGCGGAGGGTGAAGTTTCAGCCGCACAAATTAAAACCATTACTAATGGCATCGAGCCCCGAGCAGGAAACCCACCCTTATTCCGGAGAAATAATTCCTCGGTGCACTCGCATCGACAGCACGAGGCGGAGAATTGCACTCCTCTCTGAACGCTATGGAGAACTTTGAATGCGGTCAAATGCACCGACAGTGAAAAACGCCCGTGACCCGCCAGACGCGTGGAGAATAGCAGAGAGGAATTTATTATCATCAGACATGACGGCCGTCTCTCAACTTCTTCTTATATGTGCATAGACATTGCAAGAATTTTACTTTACTGTTATACATTTGCAGGAAAACGTCGGGAAATAACGAGAAAAACATCAATGTCTTTCACATAAAGTTAAAAATTTTATAAAAATGTCTGTAAAAATAACAGTTTTAGAATATGCGTTCGTATTTAAAATATGTATATACATTTATCATCTACATTCATGAGTTGAGAACTTCCATTTTCAGGATTTTCTACTTTTGCAATGCTTAATACTAGTCTGCAAATTCTGAGGTCCAAGGAACTTTTACATTTGCAGATGTACGAATCTCGCTTTGTTGAGGAACTTTTCTATTCAGACGACTGTACTATTGATATAACATGACGCACAACTGTAATTTATTGAAAAAATATATAATATTATGTAAATGTTTGAACTTGATTTCATAAAATTTAAAGTTTCAGTCTACTGCGTATGTACATATGTTTGTATATTCTATTAAAAAGTTGTTTTATTAAAGTCAACCCTAAATTTTAAAGTGGAATGAATGAAGAATGAATTTTCTACGATTTAATTTTCAGAATTTACTTTTCCACGTAGAAAAGGAAACGAAAAGAATGGGTGTGACATCGATCCCACGAAAAGAAAAACCGCGAGAAATTGTCGAACAGAAACGTCTTGTGGAATGTCGCGCGATTCCACCGAGCTTTTACATTAGAAGACTTTTGGACGAAATCCAACACCTATAGATTTATCGTCGTAAGACATAATGATGTCATTGTATATATGAATGAACGATCATAATGCTATTGTATTGCTAGTATACATTATATACGTGCATAGCCAATTAAAGTTTAAAAAAATTTATGTCGTATCTACTTTAAGTATATCTAAAAAAATTAATAAAATTAATGAGAAAACTAAAAAAGTTTATTAATTTTAAATTGTTAAAATAATAAAACTTAATAATACTTTTAAAATTTAATTGTCTTCAAAATATTTAAGTACAATTTTTAATAATTTCATAATGTTTTAATAAAAAGTAATTCTAATATTAATTTATTTTTTAATAGAATATTATTTTTAAATCATGTGTATATATATATATAATAGTTTTGATTTTTTTTGTAAATTATACATTCATTTCATTCGCATGTGCACATAGAAGAATATATAACTTAAGATAAAATTTGCTTATGATTATTATTGTGCTAATTCATATATGTACATATATGTATATTGTTACATCCATCTATAGACGTAATAAATATATAAACTGTGCATCTCTTGATCTCAAGCATAATAAAACCTCCATTTAAAAAACATAACGGTTTGGATTTATTATATTACGTTTTATAATAATATTCGGGAGAAATACACAGGCGCATTTGCTATCCAAAATGACTCGCACGAATCGCTATTATTCCAAAGAATGACTCGTCTGGCGTCGTCGGTATAATCGATTTTCTCTTTATTCCTAATATGCAGAGAATAACAACAAATAGATGTCTGCTTGGTCGCAAATAATATAATTTTCTAGTAATTTAGATATCGAATAATACATTCAGATATTTACTGTGCTCAAATAAGATAACGATATAATTAGTATGATAGCAATAGTATACGTAATTTTTGCAAAAAGGTAATATACAACAGTCAATATTTTCGTTTGTATTTCTAAGTCAGTAGTCTTTCAAATATAAATTATATAAATATATACAGATATTATTTGTAAAAACGTTTAACATATATTAATATATTTATTATAATTTTGCTCTACCTTTTGTGATTATCGGTTTGCATTAGAAGATCAGAGAAAAAGGAAAAGAATCTCTTTAAATGGATTCCAAATTGAATATACATACTTAGGAAACATAACGATCTCTGTCAATCTTTTCAAGTTGTATTTTAATAATAATACTGCTGGCTGAATCTGTTGCAATTCCAAAGGAAGTTTTAGTTAGGAGAGCTAT